TTCACCCAAATCATTACTTAATTCATAGTTCCAACCCAGAGAGTTGTTTTTTTGCCTTTCTTCGTCTTTCTACTTTCCAAGAGATTCTATAAAATTTTGCGTGGGAGAGCGGTCGGCAGAGGCTCGTTGGTATTCGTCTCTTGTCTCTGAGGCTTTTTTTCACCCAAATCATTACTTAATTCATAGTTCCAACCCAGAGAGTTGTTTTTTTGCCTTTCTTCGTCTTTCTACTTTCCAAGAGATTCTATAAAATTTTGCGTGGGAGAGCGGTCGGCAGAGGCTCGTTGGTATTCGTCTCTTGTCTCTGAGGCTTTTTTTCACCCAAATCATTACTTAATTCATAGTTCCAACCCAGAGAGTTGTTTTTTTGCCTTTCTTCGTCTTTCTACTTTCCAAGAGATTCTATAAAATTTTGCGTGGGAGAGCGGTCGGCAGAGGCTCGTTGGTATTCGTCTCTTGTCTCTGAGGCTTTTTTTCACCCAAATCATTACTTAATTCATAGTTCCAACCCAGAGAGTTGTTTTTTTGCCTTTCTTCGTCTTTCTACTTTCCAAGAGATTCTATAAAATTTTGCGTGGGAGAGCGGTCGGCAGAGGCTCGTTGGTATTCGTCTCTTGTCTCTGAGGCTTTTTTTCACCCAAATCATTACTTAATTCATAGTTCCAACCCAGAGAGTTGTTTTTTTGCCTTTCTTCGTCTTTCTACTTTCCAAGAGATTCTATAAAATTTTGCGTGGGAGAGCGGTCGGCAGAGGCTCGTTGGTATTCGTCTCTTGTCTCTGAGGCTTTTTTTCACCCAAATCATTACTTAATTCATAGTTCCAACCCAGAGAGTTGTTTTTTTGCCTTTCTTCGTCTTTCTACTTTCCAAGAGATTCTATAAAATTTTGCGTGGGAGAGCGGTCGGCAGAGGCTCGTTGGTATTCGTCTCTTGTCTCTGAGGCTTTTTTTCACCCAAATCATTACTTAATTCATAGTTCCAACCCAGAGAGTTGTTTTTTTGCCTTTCTTCGTCTTTCTACTTTCCAAGAGATTCTATAAAATTTTGCGTGGGAGAGCGGTCGGCAGAGGCTCGTTGGTATTCGTCTCTTGTCTCTGAGGCTTTTTTTCACCCAAATCATTACTTAATTCATAGTTCCAACCCAGAGAGTTGTTTTTTTGCCTTTCTTCGTCTTTCTACTTTCCAAGAGATTCTATAAAATTTTGCGTGGGAGAGCGGTCGGCAGAGGCTCGTTGGTATTCGTCTCTTGTCTCTGAGGCTTTTTTTCACCCAAATCATTACTTAATTCATAGTTCCAACCCAGAGAGTTGTTTTTTTGCCTTTCTTCGTCTTTCTACTTTCCAAGAGATTCTATAAAATTTTGCGTGGGAGAGCGGTCGGCAGAGGCTCGTTGGTATTCGTCTCTTGTCTCTGAGGCTTTTTTTCACCCAAATCATTACTTAATTCATAGTTCCAACCCAGAGAGTTGTTTTTTTGCCTTTCTTCGTCTTTCTACTTTCCAAGAGATTCTATAAAATTTTGCGTGGGAGAGCGGTCGGCAGAGGCTCGTTGGTATTCGTCTCTTGTCTCTGAGGCTTTTTTTCACCCAAATCATTACTTAATTCATAGTTCCAACCCAGAGAGTTGTTTTTTTGCCTTTCTTCGTCTTTCTACTTTCCAAGAGATTCTATAAAATTTTGCGTGGGAGAGCGGTCGGCAGAGGCTCGTTGGTATTCGTCTCTTGTCTCTGAGGCTTTTTTTCACCCAAATCATTACTTAATTCATAGTTCCAACCCAGAGAGTTGTTTTTTTGCCTTTCTTCGTCTTTCTACTTTCCAAGAGATTCTATAAAATTTTGCGTGGGAGAGCGGTCGGCAGAGGCTCGTTGGTATTCGTCTCTTGTCTCTGAGGCTTTTTTTCACCCAAATCATTACTTAATTCATAGTTCCAACCCAGAGAGTTGTTTTTTTGCCTTTCTTCGTCTTTCTACTTTCCAAGAGATTCTATAAAATTTTGCGTGGGAGAGCGGTCGGCAGAGGCTCGTTGGTATTCGTCTCTTGTCTCTGAGGCTTTTTTTCACCCAAATCATTACTTAATTCATAGTTCCAACCCAGAGAGTTGTTTTTTTGCCTTTCTTCGTCTTTCTACTTTCCAAGAGATTCTATAAAATTTTGCGTGGGAGAGCGGTCGGCAGAGGCTCGTTGGTATTCGTCTCTTGTCTCTGAGGCTTTTTTTCACCCAAATCATTACTTAATTCATAGTTCCAACCCAGAGAGTTGTTTTTTTGCCTTTCTTCGTCTTTCTACTTTCCAAGAGATTCTATAAAATTTTGCGTGGGAGAGCGGTCGGCAGAGGCTCGTTGGTATTCGTCTCTTGTCTCTGAGGCTTTTTTTCACCCAAATCATTACTTAATTCATAGTTCCAACCCAGAGAGTTGTTTTTTTGCCTTTCTTCGTCTTTCTACTTTCCAAGAGATTCTATAAAATTTTGCGTGGGAGAGCGGTCGGCAGAGGCTCGTTGGTATTCGTCTCTTGTCTCTGAGGCTTTTTTTCACCCAAATCATTACTTAATTCATAGTTCCAACCCAGAGAGTTGTTTTTTTGCCTTTCTTCGTCTTTCTACTTTCCAAGAGATTCTATAAAATTTTGCGTGGGAGAGCGGTCGGCAGAGGCTCGTTGGTATTCGTCTCTTGTCTCTGAGGCTTTTTTTCACCCAAATCATTACTTAATTCATAGTTCCAACCCAGAGAGTTGTTTTTTTGCCTTTCTTCGTCTTTCTACTTTCCAAGAGATTCTATAAAATTTTGCGTGGGAGAGCGGTCGGCAGAGGCTCGTTGGTATTCGTCTCTCTTCTCTGAGGCTTTTTTTCACCCAAATCATTACTTAATTCATAGTTCCAACCCAGAGAGTTGTTTTTTTGCCTTTCTTCGTCTTTCTACTTTCCAAGAGATTCTATAAAATTTTGCGTGGGAGAGCGGTCGGCAGAGGCTCGTTGGTATTCGTCTCTTGTCTCTGAGGCTTTTTTTCACCCAAATCATTACTTAGACAGCTCTCAGGTCCAGAACCAGGTGCAACCGCTCGCTCGAGCGAGCCACTCTGGCTCGACCCACCATACTCGAACCCCACTCTCGCTCGAGCGACCAACTCCTCGCTCGAGCGAAGAACAAACCAGACCGCTCGAGCTAAGAAAATCTCGCTCGAGCCAAGAAAGGCAACTCTCAGGTCCAGAACCAGGTGCAACCGCTCGCTCGATCGAGCCACTCTGGCTCGACCCACCAAACACGAACCCCACTCTCGCTCGAGCGACCAACTCCTCGCTCGAGCGAAGGTCCAAAATTCTGGGCAGCAACACTAGGCTCCCGAACACAACCAACCTGTAACAAACCTGCCTAACACATCCTATAACTCAAATATGAAATAACAAGGATGCAAACAAGATAATAAACAACAACCAACATCCACGGACACATGTCCGGATCACTGTACAACAAGGGTAAACCCGGGATCGCTATAAACCAAAAACAACCTTTCACTAATGACCCACCACAATCAATTTGTTCAAATAACTGTACATGCATCTCTGTCAAATATTCGAAATTCAAACAACAAAAATATACATGCATTACCAGTAAAAAATCAAAACATCATTTATCAAACATATACTTGTATTACCCATGTATTATAGAAAATGCACATGATTCAAAAGCAGAACACGTAATCCTTCACATAAATAAACATGTATTCATAAACAAAATGATACTAATCTTGAGAAATAAATTTTGTAATCGTTCTCCACCTCCGATCAACGACTGATCTCCAACAATTACGTAACAAACCAGAGCACACACAAACACCAAACTACAAAAACGAACACACCTATGGACAAAAACTCGTCGTCGTCGTCTTCTCTCCCATTGCACATAAACCTATCATTGTCTTCTCTCCACTGCACCGAAACCCTACCACAATGAAACCCTACCATAAACGATCGACATTGATTAATTGAATCAGAATCATCAACATGAATAACACTAGCAAACAAAACAACAACGTGTATTTCATTTTTTATGTATATTATGTATCAATATAATATATAAGGGTATAATATAGTTCCAAAAAAAAATATAAAACTAGGAAAAAAGGATTTCATGGAATAAAAGTACAAACATATGGAACTAACTAGGTTATAAATTTTTTTTTTAGACTTATTGGGTTAGAACACTCCTAAATGAGATTTATCAATAAAAATTTTCTCCTTTCACATTCTATACATCAATCAATAAAAAAAAAAAAAATTACAAACATTCCAAAATTATTTGGTTATGACCAAATAATTTTTTTCATTTCAAATCATTATTCAAAAACTCAAAACACAACTCCCAAATTATTTGGGGTATACTATATAAACACATTTTTTTAAATTTTTATCTTTTTATCATTTTTAAATCATATCATCTCTTTATTTTTTACATATGTTTCTATAGAAAGTGAAAAAAAAATCACTTTAGATCAAACAAGACTTAAAACTAAGGAATACTTACGTGTAGGTCTTAATAAGTCCTATGATAAAAATTTGTTATAAAAAAATCACTAATAATAAGTTTTAGCAATAATTTATAAAAATCATGAAAATAAAAGTTACTAATTGTCAATATTTAGTGATATATATAAAAATTTATCACAAAAAAATTATTTTTAACGATAATTTTATCGAGACTTATTTTAACACGACTCGATAGAAATTAAGGCCTCGTTTGGGAACAGACTAATTTAGTAACTTTTTAGCTATTTAGCTAAAATATGAGCTAAAAAAATTAGTATGTTTGGGATAACTTTTTGAATTTTTACGAAAAGATACGCAAAAAGTAGAGAGAAAAGAGAATTTTTGATTTTTTGGTATAAGTTGTTAATTTTTTGGCTAATTTAATAATTTTTTGATTTTTTGACTAAAAGGAAGGTTCCCAAACGAGGCATAAGTCAACTATTATAAATTATTGCTAGTTTACCCTAAAACGAACTAAACACAATACCCCTGCTGTGTGTTTTCAGGAATCGCTTTGAGTTTTGAGAAAGAGGACCTTTTTTTGATCTGGGTTTGCTTGATTCCGGATTTCTCCAAGTGGGTTTTGACACATTTTTCATCAATTTCAGGTGAATAAACAGTGTTTCTTGAACTGGGTCGGTGAGAAATAGCATCATGTTCAAGAGAAGGGTTCGATTTTGGATTCTTGGTTTGTGAAATCTGGGCTTCTACAAGTGCGTTTTGGCTTTAAAGATCTCGTTTCCCGTGAATTCGAGCCGATTTTGATAGGTTTTGGAGGTTTGTTACACGGGATTTTTAAGTGTCATGTAGTTGGGGTATGTGTTGATGCAGGGTTAGAAATTGAGAGCGAGAGAGAGAGAGAGAGGGGGAGGGAGGGAGGGAGGGAGGGAGGAGGAAGAGAGGGAAAGATAATGAGAAAATTATGCAACCTATGTTCCCGAGGCTTCATGTTAATGATAAAGAGAAAGGAGGGCCAAGAGCACCCCCAAGGGACAAGATGGCCCTTTATGAACAGCTTAGCATCCCTTGTCAGAGATTCAATCCTAACCCTAAAAATACTGCCAGTATGGTACCTCCTCCAGCATCCTCAAGCCAGGTGAGCTAGAATTTAAATGGGTCTGCTGTTTGAAATTCATGGTTTCTTTTATTTGTGCATCTTTCAGTGATGGTTCTTTAATGTTCTGTTTGAGGTAATTAACATCTTTGGTGCACAATTTTATGTATATGGAACTGTTTGAATATTAAAGAAAAATGATTTTGCGTGTTTTATGTCATATTTATGCTTTTAATAGGCTGCTGCATAACTATTGTGTGTTTAAAGGAGTATGCTGTTTAATCATTTCTTTTGGTTTGGTGGAGGTGGGGTTATTGACCTAATGGAGCAGGCCATAGGTTTGATATTTGGTGTAACAATTTAGGGCAAACTTCACTCAGCCCTATAGGCCATGTGCATATAATTCCACCATTTTGTGGTTTGTGGACTAAAACGCACCACTAATTTCCATCAATGGCAATTGTAAATTAACCTAATTGTCCTTGTCTTCTTCCTTATTTTTGAACTAAACCCTTCACTTTAACAGTTGTGGTATAGGTTACGGGCACGTAAAATTCATGTCGTTTGGAAATGTGTAATGCACTTCCTGTTAATTTGGATTGAAAATGTGACGGTGTGTTTTTGTCGACAAATTATAGGGTTATATGCATATGGCCTGTGTACCACAGGAGGGGCAAAGTGAAATTTTCCCAACAATTTATTGTTTGTTGCTTTATTATTTACTAGTGGTTTTCCAATAATCATGTTCACCCAGGGAAAAAAAATTTAGAAAGAGGGGCTCATGGAAAATGAACCCATTACCTGCATTGCCCCTCCATGAGGGAAGAACTTGAGCTAGTATAGTTGTGATCCATGGAGTTTTGAAACTCAAACTTCTCTGAACTGCTTATTCAAGTCTTAGATGCCATCTCTAGTATGGAATTTTTATTTTTCTTTTATTAAGTTTTCACTCTTCATGGTCTTTTTGTCCTTCTATGTTTACATTTGAGAAAAGTCAGCCTGCTCGTATCTATACTCATGTAGAAATTGCTTGACACTTGTAATAACTTCTTGTTGTAGGGAACCAGCCATGAGGGTATGTTTTTTCCACCTCACCTACAACGTTCAACACATCCAGCTGGGAAGTCATATGCTGGCTATTCTGATTTTAACTCCCCATTGACACCACTTGAGCACGATGAAGAGGATTTTATGGTTCCTATCTTTGTTCAGTTGGAAATAGGTCAAGATCAGAGAAAAAATTCTAATGGCATTGATAGGGAGGATAATGAGCCTGTGAGGGGCATAGAAAATGGGCATTCTTCCATCCTTAGTAAAGATTCTTGTCTAGAAGAGCTGGGAAGTCCTAATAACCCCACTTTTGAAAGTGGTTATCACGAAGACAATAGATGTGAGTCATTACAGATAGCAAAAGGGGACAGAGAGGATGATGCCTCAGAGACTTCCATGGTGGATTCTGTACCAGGCTTGGATATGTCCCCTGATGATGTTGTGGGAATTATAGGTCAGAAGCAATTTTGGAAAGCGTGAAGAGCAATAGTAAAGTAAGTTCCTTTGCTTATAAATAGCTTCTCAAATATGTTGTATTTTGGAATATCACATATGTGCTTCCTTTTTCTTTTTTTTTTTTCTTTCTCCCCAGTAGATACGTTAATTTGATAAAATCTGAAAAAGTAGTGTACAATTTTTATCTTGATATTTTCTTCTTCGGTAAGAAATAAGAAAATATTATACTGTAGTAGTAGAAAGGAACTAGATTTTTGGAAGACACTGTAGAATTATCTTCTTTTCCATCAAATTAAATAAAATTGCTAGTTTACTAATGTTTCCTTAATTATCTTCTAAACATTAGTGCTTTCACATGATATTCTGCATCTCAATTTATCTCTTGGTTGTTGAGCACTTAGAAAGGATGAACGGCTTTAGGGCTATTTTTGGAAGTCTTGGGAAATAGGTCAAGATCAGAGAAAAAATTCTAATGGCATTGATAGGGAGGATGATGAGCCTGTGAGGGGCATAGAAAATGGGCATTCTTCCATCCTTAGTAGAGATTCTTGTCTAGAAGAGCTGGGAAGTCCTAGTAACCCCACTTTTGAAAGTGGTTATCACGAAGACAATAGATGTAAGTCATTACAGATAGCAAAAGGGGACAGAGAGGATGATGCCTCAGAGACTTCCATGGTGGATTCTATACCAGGCTTGGATATGTCCCCTGATGATGTTGTGGGAATTATAGGTCAGAAGCAATTTTGGAAAGCGTGAAGAGCAATAGTAAAGTAAGTTCCTTTGCTTATAAATAGCTTCTCAAATATGTTGTATTTTGGAATATCACATATGTGCTTCCTTTTTCTTTTTTTTTTTTCTTTCTCCCCAGTAGATACGTTAATTTGATAAAATCTGAAAAAGTAGTGTACAATTTTTATCTTGATATTTTCTTCTTCGGTAAGAAATAAGAAAATATTATACTGTAGTAGTAGAAAGGAACTAGATTTTTGGAAGACACTGTAGAATTATCTTCTTTTCCATCAAATTAAATAAAATTGCTAGTTTACTAATGTTTCCTTAATTATCTTCTAAACATTAGTGCTTTCACATGATATTCTGCATCTCAATTTATCTCTTGGTTGTTGAGCACTTAGAAAGGATGAACTGCTTTAGAGCTATTTTTGGAAGTCTTGTCCTAGCTGATTCAATATTATTCCCTATAGAATCCTTTTCTAATCCCATCTTTGGGTTAGACCTGCCGAGGTATTGTAAGATGATTGCACGTGATATTGGGAACATTGGGTAATTTCTATTCTTATGTTTTAGATAGTATTTTATATTTCTTGGTGAAGATTGGTGATCTTATATTGGGACATCATGTAGTCATCTAATGTAGAGTTTAGAAGTTGCAACTATTTTGTATGTTTCGGATTATTTCTTTTTCGTCTTCTAACAGTTCAAAATTTAATTTGATCGTTGAAGGCAATATCGAGTTTTAATACTTTTGGTTGGGTATATTTTGTCCAATCTGAGCTGAAAATTTGGAAATAAGGTCTTAAGGGAGGGAAGATCTCAGGTGCGGAGTCTGGGGTTCCCTCCAAATTGACATTTTTGTGTTCAGCGGCCCTTGAAGGTTTTTGGTGGTGGAGTATCTTATACCCATTTCGAACTAATATATATTATGCAAGGTAAGTTGCTAGATGGTGGGTGATTCTCAATTCATTCTCTATTTTGCTCCTACCTTTCAGGATATTTTTTGTTTTCATTCACATATTGATTGGGTTTCAACCCTTCACATTTGGGGAAGTTCACTTTTTCTAGCAGTTTGTGGCTTCAGAGGAAGAAGAGAAACAAGTTTTTGGTGAATATTTTCAAATTTTTTATGTTGTTCCATGTAAAGTTGTATTGAATATGGACATGATGATATTAACCTCTTGTTTTCCTGGGAATTATTTTAACCATGGCCCCAATTGGTATGAAGCACTTTAAGAATAGCTCTGTGACTACCCAAAGGAGATTGGGTTAATGGCTTTTGCCTTAAAGCTTTTTATTCCTGGGCTTGAGCTTTGAACTTGAAATTATCCCGGGGTTTTTATTTATACACTTGTCACTCTATTGCAATTCACACTATTTCACATACAATAGAAGAAAGTTATCTGCTCAAATAGACGATAAAAATTTTAAGTAGTTCTCAAGTTTCTTACTACTATACCTTCATAGATTTGTATTTGGTCTAAATTGATGCTCCTGTTTTGTTTTTGTTTTTGTTTTTGTTTTTTCTCAAAATGATGGTACCGTATGGTGCTTGATTGTGAATCACTGGTCAATCGATGTTAGGTTTTTATCTCATGTTGGTTGCATGTCTGTAAAAGCCAAGCCACATGAAATTGTATTTTCTTCATTCTTGATCTGATCCCTCTCACCCTTTTCAGTCAACAAAGAGTGTTTGCTGTTCAAGTATTCGAGTTGCATAGATTGATAAAGGTAAGGAGGTCATCAATCTTAGCTAAGTTCCAACTTACCTGAAATATGAAGCATAATTTATTTTGCATCCTATTTATTTATTTATTTTATATGGAAGCGGATTTGAGTTTAGTTCTTGATATTGTAACAGGTCCAGAGATTGATTGCTGGATCACCACATCTTTTGATCGAAGGTAGTGCTTTTTTGGGAAAACCTCTAAAGGGCTCTTCTCCAAAGAAGCTTCCAATCGAGAATGTTGTTAAACCATCTCCTCAGATTGTGAAGCATAAAGATGATTCCAGGAACCCAAATCGTAAGATGGAATGCTTGGCTGAAAGCGGTGTTGGAAGACATTTTGTTCTTCTGAGCAAAATTTTAGTCAGCCTTCAAACTACAGACTATTTTCAGAGCAAGGTGTTATTCCTTGGGGTTTCCATCAACCACCTGGGCACCAATGGTTGGTTCCGGTAATGTCCCCTTCTGAAGGACTAATATACAAGCCATATCATCCCGGACACGGACTCCTGGGCCCAGTTTGCAGAGGTTGTGGGCATCCGGGATCAAATCCTATGATGGGTACTTTTGTAAATCCTGCATATGGTTTTTTCCCTTTGTATGGCATGCCAGTCATCAACCCAGGTATATCAGGCTCAGCTGTTGAACAAGCAAATCAACCTGGCCAGTTACACCAAAGCTCGTGTAATGTGCCAACCCAGAAGAACGGAGCAATTTCAAACGGCGTGAAGCAGCCTGCATCTAGTGAGAGTGAGTTTTTAGGCAGTACAGCAAGTAGCTCCGGTGAGAGAGCTCAAGAATTTGGCAGCAAAAGAAGAAATGTGCTTACACTTTTCCCAACTTCTCCAGTACCAGCTGTTCATTTTGCAGAGGGATCTGCAGAGCTCCAAGACACTTGCCAACCAACAAGAGTGATTAAAGTCGTGCCTCGCAATGCTAGATCTGCCACTGAATCTGCAGCTCGGATTTTCCAGTCTATACAAGAAGAAAGAAAACAGTGCGACTCGTTTTAATTTGATTCAGTTTACCTGTGTCTGAAGATTATCTTTCAGTTTTTGTTGTATTAATTTGATTTTTAGGCTTGGGTCCTTTTCAGCTTGTAATTCTTATCATCGTATCTGAGTTTGAAGTTACCTTCTGAGGCAATGGTTGGGTTCTTCTGAAGGGATACAGGGTGGGTGTTTGAGTAGTTGTTTCGGTTTGGTTCAATGGGATTTATGAATTGAGGAAATCAAAACTGACTTAAATGTTTCGTTTGATTTTAATATAATTATATTACTCTTTTAAAATTTTAATTTGCATAATATTTATTTTTATTTTTATCAGTAGTCATTAGTTTTACAGATTAAAAAATAATATTAGCATCTTTTTAAAATTAAAAAATATATATTATGTTATTTATCTTTATATCTTCATACCTTTTACATTAATTACAAATATTCTATTCTCATAACAAATTTTTTCTTTTATTAATAAATAAATTATCAAATAGATTAATAATTTTTAACAATGTTACAAATATATTTTAATTAATAATTTAATTAATTTATTATTGTATACAATATCAGTTAGGATTTTTACCTTATCTGTTACTTTTGTCAAATTAATTTTTAAATAAATTTTAAAAGGTATATTTATAATTTATCTAACTTTTTCATGAAATGATTACGTTCCAATTCCAAAATATTAAAAACTGTTTGAGTCATTAATTAAAGCTCATAAAGACCAAATTGAATCATTTTCCTTTTAATTTTAAGGGTAAATTACCCTGACACCCCTAAAGTTTATGTTTATTACAATTTTCTTCCTTACCTTTTGGAAATTACATCTTCCGTCCTGAGGTTTAAAGTTTCATTACAAATTTTCTCCCGCAGCAATTTAATTTTTTTAAATACCAATTTTTCCCTCATTGGGTAAATTACATTGACACCCCTCACATTTTAGAAATTACAATCCCCTCCTTAAGATTTAATGTAGCATTACCAATTGCCTTCTCGGTTAGTATTAGTTGAAAAAAAAAATTCATTGAAAAAAAATTAATTGAAAAAAATTTTTGTTAGTAAATTTTTTAAATTTTTGTTTAAAAATTAACGTAAACTCATTTTTTGAATTTACATTTTTTTCTCAAATTTGCAAACTGAGACAATCATTTATAAACTAAAAAAATTATCAAATAAGTTTTTATGACAGCTTTTAAAATTTTTGTAAATATAAATTGAAAACTAAAAACGAAATGATTACCAAATAGGTTTCAGATGGTAAAAATGTCATAAAATTAACAAATAATTAAATAAGTTACCAACATAAGAAATGACTTATCAAAAGATTCTTAGGCTATGCATGGTTTGATTTTTAGAATTTTTTTTAAAAAATTAAAAATTAATTTGGTTAAGAAATAAAAAATAAAAAATAATTATCAAATAAATTTTTTGACCAGATTAATTATGAAAAAATTATGACTTATCAAAAATTAATCTGGTTAATTTTTTTCAATTAATTTTTTTTTCTAATCAATGAATTTTTTTTTCCAACTAATACTAACCGAGTGGGCAATTGGTAATGCTACATTAAACCTTAAGAAGGGGATTGTAATTTCTAAAATGTGAGGGGTAGCAATGTAATTTACCCAATGAGGGCAAAATTGGTATTTAAAAAAATTAAATTGCTGAGGAGGGAATCTGTAATAAAACTTTAAACCTCAAGGAAAAGATGTAATTTCCAAAAGGTGAGGGAAGGAACTGTAATAAACATTAACCTCAGGGGGTGTCAGTGTAATTTATCCTAATTTTAATATGTGTAAAGTGTTTTAAACAAATTGAAATTTTCTCAATATATATGACTAGCACAAAACTCTTGCTATGCACCCTCTTATACAGGGATTCAAAATTTTATTTTGAAATTAACTCAACATTTAAAAACAACGTATCAAAAAATGGATTAGAATCAAGCTAGTTAAAGTTACTTTCTTTTGAGCTACAATAATCCCTTTGATCACAGCAACACTTTGCACCCCGACATCAATCAATACCATCCACCCATACTATGTTGGCAGCCAATTTTGATAGATGTAAAAACATCCTTTTAAATATGTATGACTAGTGTTTAAAAGTAAAAAATAAAAAAACAAAAGCCCTAGAATAGAAATTAGTAATATTTTGAGAAATTGATCGATAAAATGGCAACTTAAGAAGAGTTCTCATGTTGAGTGGTACATCCATACAGACATGCTTCAATATGAATGACATCATTGTACTTAATCACCGTATTTACAACCAAAAAAAAAAAATAATCTAAAAAGTAAAACGTAAATTTAAATAAAATCAAAAAAAGAAAATGCGTTTACCGCCAAGACCATCATATGTGAAAGGGGCATGAAAATTGTAGGACCATATAGGAGGTCCAGCTGGATCGAACTCTACATGCTGGAGATGAGGGAAAAGTTTCGCAACTACTTGACAAATCTCCAATTGATTACATAGATGAAAAACAACATCGTCGTTCAGACAACGGGCAATTGATCTCACTCTAGCCAAGAACATATGTGTTTTTGGGTGAACAAACGTCTCGTTAGTTATGGCTAAAATCAACAAAAGTAAAAAAATTTCAACAAGCCATGATCTACAAGTATACACTTAAAAATGCATGCTATTTGCTATTTTTTTTATATCATAATTTCAATTACCAAATACTTATAAAAACCCTAATTAAGCTGCAACCCAAAGGATCCGCTTTCAACCGCCTCACAGCACAGAACAGAAACACAAAACTGTGGGCATCTATAGCTACTGCTGCCAGAGAGAACAATATCATCATCTTAGATACGCCACTATAACATAAGATATGCCATCACAATTTGAGTTACTTGAATTATATTATATGAGGAGAAAATAAACACACACACACACACACACACACACAAACTGTAGAGTTTGAGGTAGACCCAAAAACTCGTGTGTTTGTGGTTTAATTTTTAAAAACCTATTTGTGGATGAGTTCTCATTTATTATTAGTGAGTTTTTATATTTAAATTAATTGTTTTTGTACTTTTAAATGTTTTTAATTAAGATATAGTTAGAAAGTAAAATAAATTAATTAAAATATTTTAAAAAGAAATCGCTAAATATAAATGAAAATTGAAACAAAAATCTATGTGCATTTTTGTTTGGGTTTTTATTTGTTTTTAATGATTTTTTAAAAAAATTATTTTAGTTAAATTTTTTTACCTTTTAGATACATTTAATCTAATTTTTTTTTAAAAAAAAAAACTAAAATATGAAATAAAATTCAATAAAAAAAATGAAAATTCATCTAAAAATAATTTTTGAAAATTCAAACTAAACAAAATTCTTGTTTTTTATTATTATTATAGGGTTTATAATAAAATAAATTTTTTAATTTTTAATTTATTCTCAATTAGAATTATTAATATTTTTATTGAATAAAATCAAGGGGAATTGACCAGTAAATCTCATTTTGTGGACTTGTAATCCATAAGGTCCTGAATGTTTTCTTGGTGACTGGGTGATCCCTTAATTTGTTTGTTGATAGTTTTGCCACTGTTAGTATTATTGATTGACATTTGGTGTGGATTTGTATGGAAGAAGGTGAATGGGTGTTTGTGTGTCACATTGATCGAAAAAGCGCACTAATACTTTTTTTAATTTAGTAAGTGTGTAAAACTTGCAAAGTGGGACGTGGGTTACGTTGTAAGTGTTGTTCCATGCGTGACGTGAACACAAGCAATTTGACACGAGCAAGTGTGTCACGTTTCGGCTTTCCCACAATTTGACCCTTTTTTTTCCGATTGCCATTTGTGACGTTTCGGCTTTCCTAGCAATGTGACTGAACAATACAAAAAAATAAAGCATCACTGTCTCTCTCTATCTCTCTCTCTCTCACATCTTTTACCTTCTCAGTCACGTTAAAGCATCACTTTCGACGTGAACCTTACCATTTGTTGGGTTCACGCAGAATCCGATCGCCTGCTCCGGCGGCGTACAACGGGTGATGCTTCAGCCAATCCCACCGTTTCTCGTCCCAGCTCTCAATCTCCTGCCCTCCTATGGAGTAACTGAGTTCTGGGTCGTCGTAGAATATTGGGTCATCTGGGTCGTTGTGCAGGTTAACCCCGTGCACCCCCCCAGCGGAATCTCGTTTCTTTGAAGAAATCGATGCCTTCGTTTCGTTCTCTAAGAAACCAGAACTAGGGTTAGGGTTTATGAAGGACAAAAGAGCCCAAACCGTTAGAAGAGCCACCAAAACTCCACCGCTTTGGTCTGAGCTCCATGCTTGGCCATGGATAGCGATGAAGATGTATGGAACTGAGAATGCTGAGGAGGCACCATTTGAAGCTCAAGAGGAGTATTCTTGTCAGTGTGTGGCCGTTGTATCCATTGTTGGGTTCACAGAAGTATTTGATTTGTTGGGTTCACATTTGTTGGTTCACGCAGTGTTGGTGTGATTCCATAATCCACGTTATCACACCCCAAAACATGGGATCCGAATTACCAAACGTGGATCAGCAAACGTATCCTACAAAATCTGCATTCAATCCCAATATACACCTCTAAAGAAAAAACAAAAAAAGGGCAAACTCATCCACACACACATCACTTAAATTAAAAATGGAACCTGGTTGTCCACAAAACATGCCAAACAGGACTTGTCAATCCAAAAGAATGAATGTGGGACCAGATGGAGTAATAGATTGGTAAATAGGACTTTTTGATAATTTTCCCTAAAAGGAATGGAAAAAAAAATTTAATCTAGTATTCTGCAAATATTTATCAGCCATTATTATATTATACATTATCTATAATAAATGAGAGAATTAGACATAAGTGGAAAGACAAAAATATTTATAAAAAAATTATAATTATAATTATTAATATATATAGGGATAATTATAAAATAAAATAAAAAATTTCCAATGTTTGACCTTTGCAATAATATAAACCTTAAGTTTTTAATTTTATTAATTTAAACTCTAATCTTTTAATTTGTTTTCAATGTAAACTATTTGTCTATTTTTGTTAAATAAAAATGATTAAAAAATAATATTTTAACAAAATATCCATTTTTATTAAATTTAATAACTAAAATATCTATTTTTTTTTATTGAGTTTACTTCACAAAAAT